TCCTTTGGCACTCGTTCACTTTCTCGTGCAATGCTTTCTAATCAAAACGAATAAGCAGAGGAAGAGGAGAAAGAGGAGGAGGAGGAGGAAGAGGCATCAAGGCATGAAGAACTCAATACTACGGGCAGCATATTATTTATTTAGCTGCTCACTGGATAAACATAACGCATCGAGAGAGTGGCAGAAGGCAGAAGAAGAAGGCAAAGAAGAAGGGGCAAAGAAAACGTAGGCGCACGCCAAGAATTTCAAAAGGAAAAAAGTTTCTGGAGCCCAAAGAGAGAAAGCCTAAGGACGACTCTCTGGCAACTCACTCTCTAATTCAGTAATTTGGTCGCGTAGCATTCATTAATAATCTCCGCCGCCGTTGCAGCGATGCAAAGGACGGTCAAAGTGAGAAAGTGAGTTTGCCTAGCACCACCAGCACTGGCAGCACTTTCACCGGACGTTCAGGATGGCAGCAAGATATATTCAGCCGCCTCGTCCGAAGGAAGGAGAGGGAAAGGGCCGTGCATACTACTATTATTATATTGTTATTATTATCCAATAATTAAATTTGCAGCCTCTCTTTTTCTCGCTTTTCTCGGAAAGGGCAATTGGCGACATAGGGCGAGTTTGTGCACACGGCCACTGCGGCCACCACTGCGGCACCATATTGATAATGTCCGAGAATGTCATATGTGTGTGGTATATAGAGCCTCTTCCGGCAAAATACTGCATTGTGGGCAGCAATGCTCACCGAAACTGTACAGCGCTCTATTGTGCACTGAGATACCCGTGCCTTTTTGTACCATTGGCCGCAAACAAAAAACCGATTGCAATTTATTAATTTTTTTAGTTTTTAACAAAAAAACACACTACTTTAAAGCTCAATTAATTTAACTAAATGGCCATCAGCTTCATCATCAGCATCTAGAGCACAGTATTTAAATGACAAGCAATCAATTAGAATATGATGAGGATGGTGAAAAGCAAATAACAAAACTGACAAAAGCCCTCACTACACTACAGCACTACTCAACACAACGGTGTCACATCTGTCATCATTGCAGCTCAAAATGGTCTCATTTGTCGCCCCGTCGTTGCCGATTTTTAATGTCAATTTTTGGCCCTCCCAACATGTGACGGTGGCAGTATGTTTGCTGAATATTTGTCGCTGTCAGTGTGTGCCAGTGCGCAATATATGTTCGTGTTTCCGCAATGCGCGCGCGAGAAATCAAATCAAATGAATGCTGTCGACGCTGTTGGTGGCTTTGTTAGAATCTGTTTCGCCCTGAAAATGTTCAGCGAAACTTGACACTTTGATTGGACCCTCCACTGCTGCTGCTGCTGCTCAAATACACACACACACACATTTACACTCCACAGAGACAGACAGAGTCAGAGTCAGAGTCAGAGCAGAGTTGTCGTCGAGGCTGCTGTTAATATTTTCCATCTGGCCAATAATGTCAATAATAATGCAAATTAGCGGCGCACTTTAATGGAGTCACGGTGGTGGTGATGGTAGTGCACAATGCACAATGTGGCCTACTGCTGAGCAGGAACTAGTGGAGCAGTAGGACTGCTGTTTGCAAGTTCAAACAATGTAAATTAGAGACAATCTGCTAATTGAAGAGGAGGAGAAGAACTACTGGAAATAGAAAGAGAAAGTGGCAGAGAATATTCAGTGAATATGCTTCTGCTGCATTTGCAGATTAATAATTTGACTTTGTATCTTTCTCTCCCACTCTGATAAGAGAGAGAGAGAGAGAGAGAGAGAGCCTCAAAGATGAAACAAAAAAAAGTGGGAGCACTGATGCTTCTGATTGGCACACTTTGCTGGTTGTGTTAATATGCAAATTGCCGACACATTGACAATAATGAACTCACACTCTGCTGCTTCAGTCAGAGACAGAGGAGACAGAAAGACTGTTCAGTAGACAATAGACACAAAGTGACACACAAAAGGACAGCTTCTAAAGCAAAAGCGAGAGCGAGAGAGATGAGCTGGTGAATAAAATTTACATTTGCTTACTTTAGAAAGATTAAACTTTTGATGACAGATTCCAGTCGTGTTGCTTGCTTGCTGATTTTTCTTTGGCAGTCAGTGCACTTGGCAAATGTCAAGTAGGTCTTTTGATGTTGCTGGTGGTGGCAATGCTTCGTCGAAGTAAAGAAATAAGAGAATAAAAGTTGGTCGACGACGACACATTTGCGTGCTACAGCAGACAGTGACAGCGATGACAGTGTGAGAGATCCGCACACAAAGAGAATAGGTGCACTGCTTTAAAACTGTTATGGCAGCTCAATTTGAAGAAAAGGAGGAAGAAAACACAGAGCAAAGAATTGGGCTCGACAGGCAAAAACAGGCCAAATTGAATGCGAGCACTGCAAGTTCTTCTTTTCATTTGGTGGATATCAATTAAAGAAAGAAAAGTTGAGAAAAGATTGGCCAAGCTGGGCTCGGTTCACAAGCTGATTTGCATAGGCTGATTTTCATCGTCGACTCATCGTCAACTGATCGTCAACAAAAACAGCAGCAACAACAACCTTTATCTTCTGGTGCACCGTGCACCAGTCAGCAGGGCACAATGAAGAAATCGCTGCCGCGGTAAATTAAAAGCGCACACACTTGCACTTACTGTTTGCTTTTTTTGTTTTGTGCACTTTTCTCGGGTTCCTTTCCGAAAGTACAAAGCATTTTTGCGTTATTTTAATTTTAAAATAATTTAAAATTGCTTTTTTACTAAAATGTTTCCCCTTTTTACCCGATTATTATGATTATTTATTCGATCGGCGATTCTTCAGAAGGCAAAATGTGGTGTGATGTTTGCTCATGCATTTTTTCACTCAGCAAGTGTGCCTCCGATCATTCCCGGTCTTTTGTGCACCACTGCACTTTTTGAACTTTTTAAAATTGCTTCAGTCGGTCAACATAAACAGTTTGAAAAAGAAGAGTAAAAGGAAAAAAATCAAATTTGATGACCATTTTCTATGCGAATTCAATATTTGAACATTGGCAAAGGAAGGGGCATCATTTATGGCAAATAAACTCCCATGTTGTTGCAGCAGCATCAGCAGCATCAACAGCAGCCCCCAAACACAATATTGTAATGCGCAATATATTAAACATTTTAGACTGTTCACAGCGAGAAAGACCATTTCCTTCTCAGTCTGAAAGCTAAAATACGGCCCACAAAATGATTTTCAAAAGTGGCAATAGAATAAAAGCATCATTTAAATCTGCTCTGATCGATAGTTGTGTGTGTGTGTGCAGGGGAAAATAAATGTTAGGAGCGTCATATTCAAAAGTGATTTGAGTTTTTTTTATTATATTTTGCATTTGGTGTTTCATACCATCTAGGGCAACCAAACACACAATTTCTTTGTTGCTGGTCATTTTTATAACATTTATTCAATTTCATTTCAATTTAAATGGCTTTATTTATTAGATAGTTGGAGCACAAAACGCTTCATCTTTTGAAAAAGGCCAATAATTTAAAATTTGCATAGCCAAATTGATATTTATGCTCTTCTGTCCTTTATTCTTTTTTTGTTGCTGGTTGTTGTTGCGGGCAATTCAATTCTTCAATTGACCAAAATAAAAACACGACAAATATCTCCTTTTTTCTGAAAGGATTTGAAAACTATTTGGCAAGCGAATCGATCAAATGCAGCAGAGGAAAAAGGCAGGAACCAGTCCAAATTGACCAGTCCACTACAAATCATCCTCAATCCATCCCTCTTCTTATCCTCTTCTTTTCCAGCAAGTGCTTTCCAGTTGGACAGCAGCAGCAGCAATTCCAAATTCTATCTCCAAACGAAAAAGAAAGTGCATCACACCACCGGACAAAAAGGACGACAATAATTGATGTCAATTTTTGAAATGAATTTTCCCTATCTCGCTCTCTATTTTTCTAATCTTATTATTTAGATTTCAATTTGCCGATGTTTTTGGCCTTTCTGTTTCTGTTTCTGCTTCTGACGCTGTTAGTAATGGAGAGAGAGAGCTGCTCACTAAATTGGCACTGTCAATATGTCTGACTGCTGGGCAGCAGCAGCAGCAGTCAGCAGCGACAACATCGAAAAGGGCATCAATATTTATTGGAGGCCACTTTGGTAAATGGTCGTAGTGGCCGGCTGGCATCGTTCCGAGACGACATGGCCGCCGCCGCCGCCGTTCAAATAACAACAGCAAGAAAAAACTATAGTGCGAGACGAATTTTGCTCTGGCACTGCCAATAATCTATAAATTAGCATCAATATAAATTTCAATCTATCGCTCCCTAAGAGCTGAAAAGGAAAGAAGGAGAAGAAAGTGAACACTACTGCTGCTGTCGTTTTTATTATTAAGAAGCACCCGAAAGACACTTTCACACAGAACAGTGAAACGATGTTGCAGACAACCAAAAAGAAAGAAGAGGAATGAAATAACAGATAAATAAATAGAAAGTCGAAACAAAGTGTGATAGGGAGTAATATTAATCTCCGATTCGTTTGACCAGATGATTTATATCAATTTGGTGGAAGTGGCGGTGGCAGTGGTGGTGGTGGTGGTGGGCACAGGCAAATCAAACACACACAGTGGCCAGCTCACACACACATAAATTTAATTTCACTACTGTCTTCAATTGCTGCGCAAACTGGTTCCAAAATACAAAAAAAGTGGCATCGATATCTCATCGAGCAGCAACAGCAGCAGCATTTTGTGGAAACTGTGGCAGCCAGCGGAGACCAACGGTCTCGCTGTAGATTCGCTCGTACGGCTGAGTTTTGTAGCGACGGGTCAGTTTGGAAATGAATTGTTCGACAATAAATTTCTGCAGATGAATGAAGGAAGGACGGAAGGGAGGAAGGAAAGAGAGAGGGAATGAGTGAATGAAAAATTGAAAAACAAATCTAATATAAAGTGAAAAAAATTGACAGATGTTTGTTCTGGTGCACAGACAAACAAGCAAGCTGAAATCAAATTCCCCAGCCTGGCAAAGCAAAAACAGTTTTTTAGCATTGGTAACAGCACTCACCTCGGCGAGAATGGCCACCACAAAGTGCGCCACATTTAGAGCAATTATTTGGCCGCGGAAGGAGAGTGGAAAACCCTCATAGGCCAACTATAAAAAAATCAAAAGTGAGTGTCAATTTGTAAAAAATTTAATTTAATTTGACCACAAAAAAGTACACTGAAAACTTACCCCAAAAAATCTGGCCACTCCAGGCCAAGGCTTTTCCGGACTGAGCACCAGCGCCAGTGTGATGGCCGTGGTCAGCACAATGGCTGCCGTCAAAAAGCCTGACAAAAAAAAGTTAAAAACTGAAACTTTTAAAATCATTTTTCACACATACGATTCTTGTAGAAGGGTCGACGGTAGGGGGCACCCTTGGAGAAGATGATCACCAGTGTGACGTACTGAAAGACTGCAAGCAAAAAAAAGAATCATAAAAATAACTTCCCGATATATTTTTTGTTCACAAACACACTTCTTACCTTGAATAATAAAGAGCGCGTAGTTGTCGTGGCAGACGTAGTCGTCATTGTCCGTCTCCGCCTCATTTTCCGTTCCATTTTTGGCCACGTACCACGGCTGACTGTGCAGCATCCAAACGGTGGCAAACTGAAAGACGGCCACCAGAGCTAGCTGCAGGAGAATCGAGGAGAACTGAGAGATGCCGATGAGGGAGGTGGGTGGCCTGATTGGAGACAGCTTGTCGTAGGGAAAGGTGCGACCGACTGCAAAAAAACAGAAAAGTTTTTAGTAAAAATAGAAATGGGCATTTCTAAAGCACTTACAGAGAAAGATGTACACCGAAATGATGGCAATGTCCTGGTAGAGATTCTGAATGTCCGTCAGCGCTGAGTGGTACTAACAACATAAAAAGCATTCATTTAAAAATTAGAACATAACAAAAGATAACTTTATTCTTACCCAGTAGAGAATGCAAATCGCCAGAAAGGTGGTAATGTTGTAGCAGGCCATGTAGCGGACAATGCCAAAGACGGAGACCAGCGAGGCGCGACCCTCGCGCAGCAGGTCCACCACGCAGGAAATCTCCCCGGTCAGCGAGGTGAAGGCCGAGGCTACCGATGCCTCCGTATCAGAGAGGGAAACACCGGCGTGGGCTAATCAACAGTTTAAAGTGTTCAAATTATAACATTATTGTTATCATTTTTCTGCAAAAAAAGGTTAAATCAACTGACCGACTTTGAGGGCGCCACAGTCGTTGGCGCCATCGCCGCACATGGCCACGTAGTAGCCGACCGTCTGCAGCTGCTCCACCAGCTGCTGCTTCTGGTCGGGCGCCATGCGCGCGTACACCGCCCCTCGCACCATTACCGAGCTGAGCAGCTCGGGGTAGTGCTCCCGGAGCACCTTAAAGGTCTGACCGGTCATCGCCAGTTGGTACCGCTCATTAGGTTCTATGCCGACTGAGACTTGGGAAAGGACTTTGTTCACTTCCTCTTCTTCACCATCACCACCACTGGAATCACTTTCGTAGCGCCTCGTCCTCAGCACCGGTCTCTGATCACCACCAGCACCAAGTTCCGTGGTCGATGAGGCTTCAAGGATGATCACCTCCTCACCAGGTACTGTAATGGAGCACTCTCTGGCGACGCTGAGCGCCGTCATCAGATTGTCGCCGGTGACCATGATGGAGCGAATGCGGGCCTCGTTCAGGGCGGCAATAGTGGCCGCTGTGCTCACCTTCAGCTTGTTCCTCAGCACTACCAGGCCGAGAAAGTGCAGTCCCTGCCCCTGTTCGTAGACCTCCATAGAGTTGGCCTCCAGCTGGGCTGGACTTAAATTATCTTCTAACTTTCGAGTGGCAATCGCCAGCACTCGGTAGCTCCTTCGCGTGTACTCCTCCAGCTTGGCGGCAAAGTTGGCGGGCACAGTTTCAGGCTGGCACATCTTTACAATCATCTCGGGGGCTCCCTGAAAATAATGGGAAAAGGCTTGAAAATGACTTCCAAAACAATAACATAAACTACAAACCTTGATGAAAAACTCTACTGACTCCTCTCCAGGAGATGTTTGCGGCTCAAAGCTCTTCACAATGACGCTCATTCGAGCCGCTTTTGAGGTGAAAGGGAACTGCTTGAGGACGCCCACCTTTCGACGTCCATCAGGCGAGCTGACCACCGTGGGCACTGTGTATCCGCCGTACCTCGCCTCACTGCCCGCCTCTGGCTCCTCCAGCGACCAGCCCGTCCAGTGGAAGAGCTTCAGCTCGAGGTCTTCGCCTATCAGCTGCTGCTGCTGTTGCTTATCATTATCAACATTATCACCATCACTTCCTCCACCACTGGTCAGCAGAACCTTCAGCGAGTGCGTCGAGGCGAGGCATCGAGCCCAAGGGCTGTCCAAAGACAACGAGCCCACTTCTTTAATGGGCGCCTCAAAGGATGCCTCGTTATCATCTTCTTTGACCTGGACAATCTCGTGCAGGTCAATGGCGTCTTCCGTCAGCGTGCCAGTCTTATCAAAACACACCGCGTCAACGCAGCCGCTAATGTTGATGGCACGCGGAGACATGCAGAAGATCTGCCGGTTGCGCAGTC